AAAATAAAGATTGTACAAAGTGATACACCTTAGCAAGTCTAGTGAATAACAAATAAAATAAACTATTTTCTACAAGCATACATACTCGTATAAGCATATCTGTATGTTTAAAGGATTTTATAAAAGTTAAAAGCCAATTAAGACATTATTATGTTTTAAACTGCCATTTTACACTTATGCCACCTATTCGCTCGGGTATATCCCTTGGTCCCCAACGGTAGCGTTTACTCCATTTCATAGTAATATGTGGCAAAAACCAACATACAAACTGTCGCATTTATAATAGTAATCCGATGACATCTCAAAAAGTAGCACCAAAATTCTTACTAGGAATCTTTTAGCAGGATGGGTTGCGTAAGGCACTGCCATATACTTCTTGTGAGATCCATCATGAGCCACATCTCCTCGTAGCCAACCACCGGTCACTCGGACCGGCACCGTTGGCTGCCTCACCAGACGAGCTGCCCAAAGCGACCACAGGATCACCCAATACATCTTCATCACGATATTTTATATAGAACTGACTCCATTTTCATATGGCTGCCCTGTAGATTGCGAATTTTAAGTACAATTTATAAAGAAATTTTAATTCTCACAGTTTGAACACGATCCCTTTGTATACATATTTAAACGAGTACAGTACAATTGGTTAGTAGACCAATTTGAAGGCTGTTCCTGTTTTATAATTATGGGCTTATTCAAACTCATTAAATATATTTTTTACTAATAAACAAGAATATATGAACCTTTTAATTTTTTTTGTAATTTATAATTTAACTGTTTAATTAATGTATTATGACGTATGCTAAGATACTTTCGTGATGTGCAAGCGGAAGGTTAATAAATCTACGCATACTTATAATGAATTCCTTAAGAACGCCAAAATATACATCAATAAAAAAATATTTTAATGTTTAGAAATTTGTATGAAATATACAACGCCCAAATTTTAACTTATTTATTAGGTTAAAGAAATAATAAAATATTATATTTTCCTATTAAATTAATTTAATTGATACCTAGCATAAATCACTTTACAATTTTTAGGATTTTTCAAAGACATCTATTAAAGCGAAAATATCTACTCAAAATTTTTACCAACACTACTTTCTTTGCAATATAAGTTTTATTATCTCGATTTTTTCTGAATTTTCGTCTTAGCTTTTAAAAGTTAGAGTAAGAACACTATGTTTACAGCTTTAGAAGCATTAGAGGTACATAACTCGTTACAAATAGCTTAAATGATAAAGATTTTCAGAAATATATGTACATATCGTTTTGAAAGATTTATCCAAAAATACCAGAAGCCTGTGCCCTCATGTTTTTTACATCTCAGTTACAAGTGGTCTAGCCATTCAGACATACCTTTCAACTATTTGCTTAAACTGCTTTTGTTTAAACTGCCGAAACTGTATAGTACCAATAGTCCCCAAAGTAAAGAGGCAGTGGCAAACGAACAGATTGATTTGATGACATAATGAGGATTCCGTCTTTGCCTTTGGGCTAACCCTAATAAAAAACTGCATAGTAGTCATGACATATCAAACTCATCAAAATTCATGATAAAAATCATCTGGGAACTCTTTGATTTCCAGGGATATACCTAATATATCTCAAATTAAACTATTACTATATATTCCCGAAAATGTTCATATAAACTTATGAAGCAGTCCAGATGTTCATAACATTTAAATCGCCATGACCCCAGGAAAGAAGTTCTCAGGAGGTAAGCATCCCTACAGTAGACCAAATAAAATAACTAACAATACTTCCTCTATGGGGAAACTTTTCTATTTTAAATTAAAAAAAAACAGTTTCGCATTGACATAACAAGCAATAGACATAGAGACAGTGATATTTTTTATTATATCTAATACCAGGTAAGTATACAATGTTCATTATACCTGGTCCAGCCTTTTATTTTACTTTCGACAGCTCGAGTCTAATCAATTAGTGATGTCCTAATGTATTTCCATTTCAATTTTTTAAAACAATCGACATAATTTATGAAGAACTTTTGATCGATTAAAAACATTGATATGTTATTTTTGCTCAACATTATAATAAAACATAAACACATTTAGGCGTTATAATGGCTATATTTTTGTATAATACACGCCGTATAATATTACTTTTTGACTTATTGTTGGATTTAAACCTCAATTAAGTTTAAAAAGAACATAAAATAAAATAAAACAATGTCTAATTATTGTTATGTTTTTCTTTCATAATTAGTCATGGCAAAAAAAACTGAAATAAGAAATAAATTTCAAAATTATATCTTTTTAATTTAAATTTACTAGTAAACTCTGTTACTTTAGTAGGAAATTAAAATTATATTGTTATACTAGTGTTCGCTCAACGATCGAAATTCGGTTGATAAACACAACACAAACAGAAGAAAAAGGTACTGAACTGTTCTGCCTTTGCCTATTTATATATAGACTATTTAAATATAGCCGCTAGACTCACCCTCGCTTCGCTCGGGTTCGTCCCAACGTTGATTCCCCATACAAACTTTCATCCCTATTTTCGCCCCCCTTAGGGATGATTTCAGGGATAAAAAGTATCCTATGTCCCTCCCAGGGTCTCAAACTATCTTCTTACCAAATTTCATCTAAATTGGTTCAGTAGATCCAGAGATTACCCCCTTCAACGGCACAAAGTCACAATTCACAAACTTTACCTCTTTATAATATTAGTATAGAAGTATAGATAGTTGATATGCCTAACTTTCCGGCCCACCACAATGTAGGAACTTTCATACAATTTGATATCATACTGCCAAGTGTTTTGAAATATATCGTAATTTTTTATATATCGACCACGAAATCCTGCGCAGACAATGTCATTTTCGGATGCATCCCTATATGCCTAACAATAGTTGATAAAGGAACTCAAATATTATTGCCATTTATTATCCGACTGCGACGACGCCAAAAGGAGAGGGTTATGTATTTGGCCTGTATGTATGTATGTCTGATTCTATGTTACCTCGTAATTAGTAAACGACTAGACTGATTTTGATGATTCATACGGCATTCTATTCGTCTTGATAACGCGAGTGTCATAGGATATATAGGTATAGTAAAAAATCAAAATAGCTGATCCTAGAAGCCAATTTGTGTGACTTGAAAAAACAATTTTTGTTCGAATCAATCGGGTAGGGTATAATACCATGTTTCTTCGTCAACTTGTTCTCTTCTTTTTAGTTCGCTTTTTATTACTGACTTCAATATGATTCCTGGCAGTAAACATTTTTTGATCGGAATAAAAAATACCCTATAGCACTCGGCAGTAATATAGCTTGGTATTTGTGAAATAATTTTTAGAAACAGATCAGTACTTTCAGAGATTACCATTTGTATGCAAACTTTCTCGCTCTATGAATAGATTTTATTCATCGATACGCGCCTGGTCATTTCTATCAGCAAAACTTCAAAATATAATCATTACAATTATTTGATTTAGTGTATTAATCAAAACGCTGAAGGCGTTCACTTTTTATTTTAACAGAGATGATTGAAAGAAACTATTGAAACATTTTTGCCCAACAAAAACATACACAATCTTTTCACTCCTTGATATAAAAATTTGCTCAAATTAAAAAAGTTAACTATTATTACAGATTTAATATCTTATTATCTTCTGGTTTTTACCTATATATTAAACTAGAAACCGGTTATTTTGATATCGAACTTCGATAAAAAAACTAAAAAGTCAGACCAGTGCTTAATTTTCAATCAATTTCATTCAATAATAAAGATTTTCTACACAAAAACACAAATTTTAACTGTTTATATATAAATATTTAATCTACACAACTTTAAATTGAAAATAATTGAAAAATACTAAATAAAACAATATTATATGTCTGTCTTTCCGGTTTAAAATTTGTATTTATTTGACTTTTACATGCGATCGTGGTCTCACACGTGCATCTGACTGAAGTGAAACTGGCATACCTTATCGTGCGTATCTTCGATGACAATGTGATGCGGAACCATGGAACTTAACTAGTATAAACACCGGGAGACGCCTTCAAAACCCCTCAACTAAGCAAGTTTACCAAAAAATCCTTTCAACAAAATTATTAATTTGTTGTACTACTCATACCAGTGTGTTATCAATATACTATATCTATATCAATCGCCCTTTTATCAGATACCATCCAACGTGGTATCTAAATAACATTCAACCTTTAAAAATTCAGATTTTAGCAACAAAAAATGAAAATTTGCCATGAAAATATTAAATTTAAAAAAATTTGAGTTCAATAAATAAACCGGATCCAACCCCCATAATGTTAAATGTACTTTAATCCAAAGGTTTAGAGTTAAAATTTCACTAACACGAATTACGTAATCAGTGAAGTTGTCTGGTCACTTTGATTTCATATAATCGCTCCCATACGTATAGATCATAAAATACTTTAAATTTTAAACCTTATACCACTTGTTTAAGGTTAGAAATTAAGTGACAATGAAGCAAAGAAAGTGCTAGCTCTTGTGTACTATAGTTTGTATTTACCGGTACAAGCTCGTAGTAGTGTTATTCGTTTACCGACATAAGACGTGATCTGAGTTATTCTTATATTTAAAATTCTTTGCAATAACAAAAGTAAGTTACTTTTCAGATATAACTATAATATGTGAATGTGAAAGTGTATTAATTTGTGACAAATATCGCCAAGTTCTATTAAATTAATTTTGTTATCCAAATATATCGATATTTATTAAATTAACACACAAAAACAGTTCTTGATGTTAAACAAGTTACGTGTCTTAAAGTTGTTAATCACATAGCAGCCACAATAAAAAGTAATCATTGTTTTAATGTGAACCCATAGATTATGGTTCTTTATGATATTATAATTAAATAGCACTTTTCTGTCGCTTTCAGAAATGGTCGAAATTTGCACCGCTTAGGAATGTAGTTTTACTGAGAGAATCTGGAGAGAATCTCAACCGTTTCTGTTTTTTAATACACTATTAGAGAATATGATGAAAGTGCACTGGCTAGTGCTTTGGTCTTTATGGGCAGGACGATTGGTGAGACAGCCAACAATACCAGTGCGAGTAACAAATGGACTCCTTCGCGGCTCCTTGTCGAATGATGGCTCGCACATTCGCTATTTGGGTATACCTTATGCTTCTTATAAGAGATTTCAGGTTTGTTGATTATATCTTACTAATACTATAAATGTGAAAGTTTGTGAGGATGTATGAATGTTTGTTACTCTTTCACGCAAAAACTACTGAATGGATTGTAATAAAACTTTACAATAATGTAGCTCATACACCAGAATACGACAAATAGGCTACTTTTTATAACGAAATAATATACATTTCCCGTAGGATTTCTAGATATTTAGCTAGTTATAAGACGAACTGACAAAAATTAAAATTGTACTTTAATGTAGATACTGTTGACAAAGGGAATAAGTTCACATATGAGCTTTGTGTGGATTTTATCCCATTCCCATCTTTTATAATACTTTAATTTGTGTATATTTTATGTCAATATTTTTATTTGCCTCGGTAACTAATCTTAACTAGTCTACAAAAGTTGTGGTGTTATATTATAAACTAATGACGTCCTAGCAGAGCTAGTTTGGGTTATATGTATAATGTATATACACTGTGAAACATAAATTGTATAATATCCTAATGGCAGGCTTTGTAATTTTCTAGGCTCCTATGCCAGATCCAACATGGAATGGTGTATTAGAAGCAACAGAAGAACACATCAGATGCCCTCAAAGATTCACACCAACTTTTATTTTAGGAAATGAAGACTGTCTTACGCTTAATATTTATACTCCAGTACAAAAATCTGAACAATTATATCCAGTCATGGTGTTCATTCATGGTGGCGGCTTTAGAGATGGTTCTAGTTCTCCATTTTTATATGGACCTGAATATTTAGTGCGACATGGTGTCATTCTAGTCACTATTAACTACAGGCTTGAGATTTTGGGTTTCCTATGCTTAGGTATAAAAGAGGCCCCAGGAAATGTTGGCCTGAAAGATCAAGTTGAAAGTTTACGCTGGGTAAAAAGAAATATAAAAGCTTTCGGCGGAGAGCCTAACAAAATAACAATATTCGGTGAAAGTGCTGGGGCGGCATCTGTTTTGTACCACGTAGTGTCACCAATGTCGAAAGGACTTTTTCAAAAGGCTATAATGCAAAGTGGTTCTGCTATATCTCCGTGGAGTTTGCAATTTGACCCTTTAAAAACAGCTACTAAATTGGCTAAACAAATGGGTCACGATTTAGAGGACCCATATAAATTGTACGAACTATTTAGGAAACAATCATTTGTTAATTTATTAAAAACACGTGTACCTAGACATAAAGGTGATGTTATATTGTCAGAGAATATATTCGTTCCTTGTATTGAGAGAAAATTGCCTGACGCAGAACAATTTTTAACTGAAGATCCATACCATTTATTATCTAAAGGACAATTTAATAAAGTACCAGTTATTATGGGTTATAATAGCGCAGAAGGGTATATGTTTGTTGGTAAAGAAAATGAAACAACAATAAAAAACTTTAATTACTACGATGCTTTACCACGAGATTTAGAATTTCCAAGCGAAAAGGAGAAACGAGACACTGCAGAAAAGCTTAAAAAATTATACAATGCAAATAACGCAGATGTGATAACAACACTATCAAAATACGAAGGCGATTCTTGTATAGTATATCCAGTTATTCGAACAGTTGAACTTCTAGACCAAAATATGGATAAACCAGTATATGTTTACAAGTTTGCTTACGATGGTTGGTTGAACTTGTTGAAATTCAGTTACGGATTTTTCAAATATCCGGGAGCAACTCATGCTGATGATCTATTCTATATATTTAAAGCAAAACTGACATTACCTCAAACTTTTTACGAAATGGGTATTATAAATACTGTAACAAAAATGTGGACTGATTTTGCAAAATATGGGTAAGTGCCACATTATTTTATGCTGTGTAATGTGTTTATATTTCCTTTTCTATTACTTTTTTACTTTTATAATGCGGAGGAGTGACAGCACTCGGTCACAATCAGTTGTTACTGAGTTGGTCCTTAATCAAGAGATCAGCTACACGACTAGGTAATCTCCATATTACGCTACTGTTATACCGGTAACTTCCTATGCAACCGGTAACCGGAAACCGGTAACCATGTGTTGCTTGTAAGCAAAATACCCAGATACAAACCGAAATACCCAAAAATACGAAAACTGATTTTGACCTAATCCGGAACTCGAATCCAAGACTTTAGGATTTATAGCTGTATATTATGCTAGCCACTATACCTCCTGGTCACATACATTCAATACAAAAAATATTTTCTAATTTGCTACCGTCTATCATCACTGAGTGACCTAGAGTAAATTTCGAATATTTGCCTATGGGAGCTGACCAAGATTCTAATAAGCTGTAAACATGAAAGACAAAAACGAACTTTAAAAAGTGTACTAAAATAAATGATATTCGATCATAAATTAAATTTTCATTCTTAATATGTAAATAATATTAACATTTGGTTTCAATCTCATTTCAGCGACCCTCAGAAGAGTGAACGTCTACGAAAGTGGTATCCTCTTGCCAAAAACAACCATCAACTTTTGGTGATAGACAAGGTTTTGTCATCACAATCAATATGGGAAGATCAAACCCTATTGTTTTGGAATAAAACATATTCGAAATACAGAAAAAAGGGGTTAATTAAATAAAACACATTTGATTTATATTTATTGAATACAATACATCATTAAGTTCCTTAGTCCGTAATATATGTACCAAGTAACAGTATTTGTATGTAAATAATTAAAATAAAATTTCTATTTAAAATAACTTTTAATTGGCTCACGTGTTTAAATATATTATGCTTCTTGCCAAACATGACCGTTTTTAATAAGAGGACTTTTTGCTGATGATGAAGAGTAAGAATTTTTAATACGATTTATATTCAAGATACTTTGAATCGTTACATTTTTATACTTATAATAAGTTTTATAATTTAATACAGTATATTATTTATTTAATTTTAGCTGTTATTATTCATATGTAATATTATTATATTGTATAAAATATCAAGAAGTAAAAATAAAACAAATTTTAGTGACAATATCCCTTTGTACCTATGCTGCATAAATCTAATATATTTAAAAGAGCAATTCTTGTATATATATATATATATATATATATAATATATATATATATATATTATATATATATATATATATATATATATATATATATCGAAAACGGCTCTAAAGAGTTTAATGAATTTCAGTATACGGGAAGTTTCAGGGGTGATAAATCGATCTAGATTAGTTTTATGTCTGGGAAAACTCGTGTTTTCGAGTTTTCATGCGGTTTTGTTTCACATTATTCCACGCAAAATATGGTCGTTAATTCGCACACTAGGACATAAGCATCGCGGTCAAGCGGCCAAGACGCAAGTTTGATAATCACAAGTGTCTGGGTTTGAATCCCGGTCGGATACAAAGGTATATTTTTTTTTTTGTATTTATTCAAGTTTTTAGTTTTTTTTTTAAGAAAATTGTACTCTTTAACCAAAAACTCCGAGCGAAGCTCGGTGGCCCAGGTACTATAACTTTAATTACATACATATTATAAATATAACTGGAGTACAACATTCGTGCTCATCACACAAATGAATGCGCCCAGCGGGACTTGAACCCGTGACCGCTGGCACACCAAGTAGGGTCACTACAAACTGAGCCAATCGTTACGTATTTTTATATCAACTTGCATGGAGTCTATCTTTTATTATTTTAATGACTTAATTAATAATAATCTTAAATTACAAATAATTAATAGATGATAGATGGCATAACAGGTAACATCTACAAATACGCTAACTGGTTAACATTTATGTTATTCATGCTAAGATTGTATTTATTCTTTAGTATGAAAAGGAACGTCCAAAGTAAGATATTATTAAATAAATGGTGAACCAATAACACGATCATGCGAGTTTCTAATCAATAACATGCATGACACAGCTGTAATTCGTAGTGGACCTTTTTGTTTAATTACCAGAAACAGTTCCACTATGAATTCCAGCTTTACAATGAGGTTTATTTTTTTTGTATTTAATTATGTATATATATTTTTTTAAATATAATCTGTATTTTTCTTTATATATTTATATTGTGTTAAAATAAACCATATTTAATCATTTTTGAAATATAATTCTTTCAAAGAAACTGTACAATACTTGCTAAAAACATTTTTAACAATTAATTTAAGGATACAAATATTTTGATCAATCAGAGTAACACTTTAAAAAACTTTAAAAATCGGTCAAGTGCGAGTTGAATTCGCACTCAAAGGGTCCCGTACCATCGTACATGTAATTTTTATTAATATATTTTACTCTTACTAATGTACATACATATGTAGTATATTAATTTCGATGATTGATTGCAAACGTTAAAAAAATTACTTGTATTTTTATTATCTGTTGTTATAACGGCAATAGAAATACATATTCTGTGATAATGTCAACTCTCTAGGTCAGATTAGGCCACAGTCTACCGCTATGGTCAAGTGCGGGCAGACAGAACATGTCTTTCGAGAACATTACTATACGATGTTTTCCTTCACCGTAAAAATGACAATGTACCAAAACATAAAGATCTAAGGTTCTAGAAACGATACAAAATTGAGTCAAATTATATACACTAGCGACCTCGAAGACCCTCACTTCGCTTGGGTTCGTCTCTAGGTACGTTTTCATTTTTTTGAACGGGACCCTAATTCTTATTCTAAAATAAAAGTAGCCTATGTTACTCCTCATAACAGCGATCTGCCAGTGAAAGTCCCGTCAAAATCAATCCAGCCATTTCGGAGATTAGCCAGAACAAACAGACAGACAGATAGACAGAAAAAAATTAAAAATTGTATTCTTATAAGTACCGCATTTAATTTTATATGCATTTAGTAAAAAGCTGTTATTTTGTAATTAAAAACAGACACTTTAATTTTATTTATCTGTATAGATATTATTATTTTTTATTGCTAGATAGGCATGCGCTTGACGACAATCAACGCTGGGAAGTGCTGATGAGGTCTAGGTTGGAGCGCGCTTGCCTAGAAGATGCCTATTCACTCTCGCCTTGAAGGAACTTATATTATAGGTGGCAGGAAACACAGATGCTGGAAGGATGTTCCACACCTTAGCAGTTCGTTTCAGAAACGTAATACTAAAGCGTTTCGTGCGATTTAGTTGGGTTTCTACCAAGTAAGGATGCCAGCCCTCGCGATTTGGTAAAACGGTGAAAGAGACACAAAAAAAACAAACAAACAAACAAACAAACAAACAAACAAACCAACAAAGTGAGATTGGGCGAGATTTCTATGCCTATACCTATCATCAGTATTTAAATATTGTACTATATTTATATGTATTTATATTTATGAACTCCTTAAATTGTTCTTATTCATTCAAATACGATAACGAAATTATCAGATACCAAAACAGGTGTTTTTTGATGTAACATGCGTCATATTGATGTCATTTGCATATAATGTAGCTTATGTCACTAGCTGTTGCTATATCGATGAACACTTCACTCATCAAAATCAAGTCACACTTCATCCACTGAAATCGATTCAGTAGTCAAGGCGTTGCGATGGAACGTAGGTGCATAGACACAAAAACATACATACATAGAGTCCTTAAATCATAACCCTCAAAATATATAAGGTTTCTATTTAACCACGCTATATATAAGACATTAAAAATGTGAACGTAATTTTTTAAATGTATATATAATTTACACATTGAACCGTTACAATTTTATTATATTTCAAAAATCGTAGAAAAATAATTAACGACAGGTTCATCAATTATTTAAATAAATATAAAATCCTATCAAACTCACTATTTGACTTTAGAAATGGCAAATCTATCGAATATATGTATTTGAGAAAGGCATTGGACAGTCTCTGTTGACATTCTTTCGCATAAGCATACGTGGCATACCGCTGCTGATTTTCAAGAGCTATCTGTGTGATAGAAAGAAAAGTGCACAGATCGGTCGATGGGTGACGATCTAAACGTGACTTACGGCGTTCCACAGGGTAGTGTTTCCAAATTTCAAAGTTTCCAAGTTCCAAATTTTCATTGTTAACACTGAAGCTTGTCGTTAGCTACTAAACAAAAAAGAAAATCGGTTGACAAACAGAGGGGAAAAAGATACTGAACGGTTTTGTCTTTGCTACTATTAATATATATACATTTTAGCTGTCCTAGACTCCATCAACCTATCTATGATATCTTTCCACTGGAAGTCCCATATAAATACCCATGACTGGAGTACAAACATTCGTGCTCATCACACAAATGAATGCCCCCAGCGGGACTCGAGCCCGTGACCGCTAGCACAGCAAGTAGGGTCACTACAAACTGAGCTAAACATGTCGTCATTTTCCTTTACATCAATGATTTAAGGCACTGTGTACTTGGTAATTTACTACGTATGGTGGATTAGTTTGCTCAACTCGCACTAGATTGTGAAACAACAGCTATACCTACGTGAGGCAATGGATCTTTCGTACACAACGGATATATATCCTTTGAATCATTGCGTTTTGTTTTGCAAAGTATTTACAAAATTTAAAGATAATTGTTTCAATACTTTCTTAGATTTACGCGAATATTTGTCATTTTATATGAAACTATCTTTTCTGATTATTTCGCGGATTGATTTTGATATTTGGTCCCCAACGTTTCGAGTGCTTGTAGCGTTTTAGACGTCTAAAACCTAAGTCTCTCCCGTGACCATGATTGCTGTAAAGCATTCCAAACGTCGCGAAATAATCCGAAAAGATACTTTTATTTAAAATGATAACTATTTTAATTAATACGAGCCAATCAATATAAATTTCCATCCTAACTAGACGACTGATAGAAGTGTCATAAGCTAACTAAAAATCTATCATTTCTTCCGAAAACTATTAGCCATTAAAACTTTTCAAAATTCTAAAATCAGTTTAGCCATGGAAACTTCAAGCATACTCTGAATCCCAGAGAAACACTCATTACTGTTTGTAATGTTTTAACATTTAGGAGTAATTTAATTGTTGTAATACTTTGTAACTAGGTAAGACCTTAGTTCGTATATTTACAATATAATATACAGGCAGCGCCACCCTTTGTTAAATATTACATATTACTAACAGTAACCTATACGCTATTTCAAGTTATAGTCTATCTAATATCTATGTACCGAATTTCATCCAAATCCGTACTACCGTTTTAGCGTGAAAGTGTAACAAACATACACACATATAAAATTAATAATATGTAATAATAATAATATTCGTCCGATAATATATATAATTAACACTAATTAACTTTCTTATCTACATATATAAATAAAAAGAATCGGTGTTTGTTGGTGATCTTATCATTTGAGAATTTATATAGTTACTAGGAGAACCCGCGGCTTCGCTAATACTTTATTATTATCAATCTTCTTTTTATTTGTATTCTAATTTTTATTCTATTTACTTAGCGGTTTGTATCTTTTTACTTGCTTATTTTTTGTGACGGAGGTTACTTAAAATTTTTAATTTTATTTCATTCTTTTTAAAGTACTCGCGGACACTAATTCTAATAGCTAACTCTGATTGACACTATTCTTATGAACCCAGACACACTATATCTGTTGTAAGTTTCTGAGTTCGCATTTCGCCCAGTAGTCGGAAATTCGGAAAAATAATAATTAATATCTAAAAAAACTTCTAAAATCTGTAAAGGCGAATATTGGACTAATGTGTCACAAATAATACCTTATATTTAGAAAATTGTGACGCCAAATTGTGATGCCATTTTAGTCTCCCACCCGTGACCATGATTGATGGAAAGCATCCGAAAAATCAGAAATCAAAAATAAAATACAAAAAACCGTAAAAATATATTTATTTCAATGTAAAAGTTATACGTTTATTCGTAACTAGCGAATCACCCTCGCCCCGCTCGTTTTCTCCGTTTTAACGTGTAGTATAGATTTCTCAGAGATGGGATATTTTCCCGCAGTAAAAAGTATCCTATATGTTGACCCGGACAGCTAGTAACAGACAGGCATAAAGAAATTCAAAAAACTATAGATTCGGCCTCTGTATCGATAATAATATCTATTTCAATAAGATTTCCCAATGTATTTATTGTACAGATTCGTCTTAGTTATAATTTTATTATACATACGTATAGAAGATGACTATTTATTTTGAATCGAAGTAACTATTTAGATTCAATTCAGTACTTTGTCATGTGGCTGATAGGTGTGTCATTTGGGCACTATTTACTTCTTAAATACCATTGACTATTTTGACAATCAAATGAAACGTTACAATATGTTTTACCGGTGGTAGGACTCTGTCAAGCCTGAGAAGTCCGACTGGATAAGTACCACCCCTTTATCTATTTCTCCCTCCAAGTAACAATGATTACATTATTGTATTCCGGTTTGAAGGATAAGGTAGCCAGCGCAATTACAGGCAAGAGGCATATCATCTTAGTCCTAACAATGACAGCGCACCTACGGTTCTGTATTTTTGTAACATAAAACTAAGTGCATGAACCGTAGGTGTTATGGGCGACAGTTACCGTTTTCCATCATGTGGACTGTTTGCTCGTTTGTCACTGAATACCATAAAAAAAAATGTTCGAAGAATTAACAAGATGAAATCGGTTAAAAATTGAATTGAATAAAAAAATTGTGACACTGCATTTCTTAATAAACCTATATTACGCTACGTGTCTTAATCAAGCAGGTATTAACAAAAAATGTACGGAAATTGAACCTGTGACCTTTAAGCGTAATAAGCGATACCAATACAACGCGTTTTAGAGGTCGTATACAGGTTAAAATATTTTAAATTGATATTTTAATGTCGCCGTTCACAAGATAACATGGCACGAACAAACAAACGATAAACATTATTATTACATATTTATCATTAAGTGATTACTATACTGTATTTTAAATTATTCAGGGCAACCGATAGCATAACAGAATCAAATCTTGCAGTCAAACGCGTCCACACTCGTATTGTTACTCTACTCAATCGAACGTGTCATAAAACAACAATAGTTTTTAAACACAAAAAAGTTATATATTTAACAAAAATTTAAATAAATATGTGATCGTTCAGTTTATTTAGAATGAAATACGTGATACTTTTGTCCTTGATATTGGGAAATTTTGTGAGGGATCGTACGCCGGTTGTGAAAGTTAAGGAGGGCTATTTAAGGGGGATGGTCAGTGAGGATGGGAAGATATACCAATACTTTGGGATACCATATGGGATGGTGACGAAGGAAAACAGATTTCAGGTAAGATTTAGAATTTCTTAACCAGTCAGAGGTCATCGGTTCATTTTTTGATTTACTTTATGTTTATTAGTTATAAAATCCATAGATTTCCTATATATAAACTTATGGAAGAAAATTTACAATTTTTTTGTATGCGTTATTGTACTAATTACTATATATGTACTTATTATTTAATTCATGGTACAATTGTATCGAAAATTACTACATTATATGTAAATTTAATGGTTTTTTAAATGCATATATTGAATGTTATTATAGATATTTTATACACACGTGTAAACACTAATAGTTAACTACCACTACTAACTTAGTTAACATTATCCGTTCTCTAAGTTAGAAGGGGCACTATGGGGACTGCGACCATGCGTAATATAGATTGGCCAATTCTAAAGTAAAAATCCAACACGAATATAATATTTGACGTTATAGAATCATATGATTGAAATCCTTTGGTCTGTACAATCATAGTTAAAACTTGCGAAAAATGACACCTATATAACAAATGCGTTAAGTATGTATGGGTGTTTATTTTATCTCTTCACACTGTAACCAATTAAAATTGAATTCGATATGGAAATAACTTCTATCTTTAAGTGACATATGAGCACTTTTTATCGAATATCTTCTACACGAGCAGAGCCGCAGGCAATAATCAGTCAAAACAGTGAATAATTAGTACAAAATATTGTTTATTACTTACTGAGGGGGCTAGTATACCTAGTTAACCTAATACACTAGAGACCGCAGGTTCGATATCCGTACAAAATCAATATTTATATCGATGAAATTGATGTTTTTTTTTTACATACAGTAAAAGAACGAAGCCTTGTCTCCAGATTTGGTAAATAGCCCTATATCAATATCAGTGTCCCAATCCTAACAAGCACAGGACAAAGTGAGGTATCTCTATGCTTTAAACTAAAAAAAACATTTACTGATATTACAAATGCTCTAGTTTGTTAGCTTGTCATTCACGCAGCAATGACATATTGCATCAGATAATTTATGGGCAAGAGAGACATAAGCTACTTCTCATCCTTTGGTTTCGTGGTTTTCAATTTTTGTTTTTCTTGTATTGACTATCACCGACTTAAGAAATGTATGATTAGGTATATATTGTAAATGAAAAACCCCGTTCAGTCATTTCTTACTTTAAACTGTCCGGAAGTTGTTTACATTTTTTTAATTATAATAAAAAATGAACATTTTTTTTAAATTGTTATATTGTAAGCAAGGGCAGATCGTTTAAATCGAAAAGCATTATAAACTCAGTAGGAAAATCTACAAGGTAAGACGAGATTCTGTCGCCGCATACATATTGCGTGTTCTCTGCTCGATGAGTTACACCGAGGACACACGTTCTATAATAACATTTACATTCTTAGCTGTCGGATTTTTCCTTTATCCTGAATCCTGATTCATGGGATTTGTAACTAGAATTGAATCTACTATCTTCTTGAAGACTTAAAATACGAGTATGATCTTTAAATATTCAATAAAATTATTTATTTTATACGAAAAAATCTTATAAAGTCTATAATAATAAATAATCAATTAAACAAAAAATCTTGCGCATTACATCTTAAACGTGCAAAAAATATAACACGCAAATAAAGATAAGTCAGCTAAGCAAACGCGCAATACAAGATATTTGAATAGTTAACTAATCTAAAAATCTAACTAGTACTAATATTATAATTGCGAAAGTAACTCTGATTATTTGCTTGTTACCTTTTCACGTCTAAACGGCTGAACCGATTTAGATAAAAATTGGTATGGAGATAGTTTGAGATCTGGAAAGAACATAGGATACTTTTTACCCCGGAAATCACTGCTTAAGGGGGTGAAAAGGGGTGGAAATTTTATGGAGAATCAATTATTTGTCAAATACGGGATATAAAACTCATTATACCTATGTATATAGTATATCTATTTTCAAACGTTAAAATGTACCAACAAGGGACGAACCCAACTGAAGCGAGGGTGAGTCGCTAGTTATATACCTCAAAATTGATTGTATAAAACAAATATTGAAAAATGATCGTCATACTTTGTAATAAAATCTGACAAATAATTTCAATATAAGAATTTTTCGTGACATTTCTAATAACAAAAACGTGTGGTCTTTATTTTCCTTCAGGAAAAAGTAACTTTTCCAAAACCGAAGTTTTGGATCTGGATTTTGGGTCGTTGCGTTTAACGACTGCCTATTTAGTCCAACTAACGAGCATGACTTCCGCTGGGTGTAGAACATAGAGCAAAAACTGTATCTTTTGATCTACTCGTTCCATTGAAATAATAATGTTTTAGACTAACTTGAAAAAATAGAGGTACTTATTCGAGTGTGTACTTGAGTGAATATTCCACGATATGTTCGTCATTTCTAAATCGATTTAATGATTAGATATTTATAAGATTACACCGATTGATTATACTGAGTCAAACAATGTCTAAATTTGATAAAAACTGTATTAAGTCACATAAAACACTGAAAATATACTAAGTAGATTAATATATTTTGCCCATTATTTTTTTTTATAGTTAACCTCCTCATTTTGATGTAGGTAATTAATTCAAAAGTCTTAAACAGAAAACTACAGATATTTATTTATTATTAAGCATACTTACAATATACATGTTAAACAATTAAATACAATAATTAAAGTAAAAAAAAAGAAACAGACATGCATATCAATTACAAGTGTACATAGCGTTTATAATATTATCATAGTAATTGATAAAAAATACAAAATTAACAAAAATTAGAAACAACATAATTTAAAATCTTTATATATATAATTCTTCTGTGAGTGTGTATGTCACTGAACTTCTCTCAAACGACTGGACCGATTTTGATAAATTTTTTGTGTGTGTTCAAGGGGATCTGGGAATGGTTTAGATTCACAATTTGAATAATAATTTTCATCAAAAAAATTATTAAAAAAAGTTTGAAATTTTCAAATTAAAGACGTGTAGACAGGACAACGTCTGTCGGGTCCGCTAGTATAAAATAAAGTAAAAATAATAATAATTTGATTTTAGTGAATTAGTAATCAATAGTTTTATAAAAAATATTATATCTATATTTAAATCACAGTTTGGATAAATAATATTCTTATAGTTTGTAATTAAATTTATTGTAGGTATCATGAAAACTATCTAGTTCTGGTAAGGCCTTAGAAATAATATTGTATTGCGAACACACACATATATATATATATATATATATATATTCACGCACGTATAGCACGTCTTAAAACCATTAACAATAAAATTAAATTGAATTAAAAGAAGTAAAAATCTGCAAACAAAAAAAACTGCTGACATTTATTAGACTAGTTAAAATATGTTACAATATAATCGGGGAAACACCTATTTAACTATAATTATATCAATATATTACTCATATTAGAAATGAGTGTTCTCTTTGATGAAATAATATTGATATTGCAAAGTATAGCGCATAGTATTGTACCCACCACACCTAAAGCCCTTACTCGTCCTTGTTCCCCACGACTCTCCCTGCATTTCCGTGTGCCACCAGTGGAGCCTGCAACCATGATACACCTGCAACCGTGATACGTCATACACGCATTAGAATGTTACCACACCAATCGATCCATAGACATAAACGACGATCAATCGATTGGTGTGGCAACACCCTTACGCTGACGAATGCCACTCACCCCCACTTATGATCGTTGATTCCATATAGTAATTTGTTAATTACTTACACTCGATAATTAATCTATATATAATTAATCTATAAATTAAAACACATGGTGATGATTAATTATAGAGTTTTAATGATTGTCCTGTAAAAGAAAATATCTTTATATATTAATTCTTATGAATGAAGTCGCGAATGTTTGCAGTCATTTTCTAAATGGTTTTCAATTCCTTGCAATTTACGACTTTCTCAACGCAGTTTGTGAAGTACTGTTATTGAAGTCAAGGGCAAAGTCGATGTAGCCACAGTCGGTGGCGAAGGTCTTCCATCCATTTCAGTTTATTTCAAATATTTTTATACAAAAGACTGTATCCGATGTAATTTATAATATTAAAATTAAAAAATTATTGCTATTCTTCCGATAATAAGGAAGATAAAATAAATATTTTGTCAATAAACGGGGCAATAAGAAAGGTTGTTTTTATTATGCCATAGATTAATTTAAGTATGCTTAAAATATGTGTACTTAGTTAAGCAACAAAATAGCTTATTCGATCTATTTTTATAAATAGTTTTAATTTATTAGGTACAATTGGAATATTTTACTTTTTTTTCTTTGACCGCTCGGCGTCGTTGACGTGACATTATCAAACTACGTATGTATGTATGTATGTATGCACGTAACATTGATAAGTAACATCACATTCATCCTTTTTCATACAAATGAAATATTTTCTTTTTCTTTGAGTCCATACAAAACCTGTATGGAAATCCAATACAAAAAAACTTTCATTTTTTACAATATCTTCAGGCAAGTTGCTCGCCGTAAAACTTCATCGAGGTCGTCCCTAGTGAAAAACAAATCTATCCCACGGGAACCGTACATTTTTCTGGGATAAAAAATAACTTATGTGCTATTCCAGATTAAATCTATCTCTGTGCCAAATGTCATCCAGATCTGTTCAGCCATAATGGAGTTCATAATGGAGCCGACCTTAAAATAAAAAAAAATAAAAATATATTTTTTTATTTTTATTTGGCGTTGCTAATATACATATATTCTTCTAAAGATAGATGATATGCGATGTTTTTATAATTTATATATATGATATCTGATTTTTATTTGACTTTTCCTCGTCGGATTCTCGAAGAGAACATGGCGCCTTCCTAGTTCCTTTGACCGCGATATATAATACGTTGGTAGTGTTAGAAAAATAGAAGTTAAAGGAAAGACACGGCGCCGATCTTCATCATCAGGTCTGAAAACACAATTTTAATGGTTAATACAAATATTATTATCACGCCAGAAATGCCCGCCGTGACCACTTTTTCCTCTATACGAAGCATTCATATCATTGTCAATTTAAACCTTATCAAAGTATCGCTGGGTACTAGTAATATTGTAAAAGAAGCAAAAACAAATTGAACCAATTACATCATGACCCGTAATAAACTGTTTTGTAAACCATGGCCAAGATGACTGAATTATCGAAACATACAATCGTAGTATGAAATGTATGTTAATATTATTCATAATAATAATAATGAGTACAACTACATATATAGTACAATGTAACTGTAGTACCAATGTAATGATTAGCTTAGCGCCCCTTACTTTTGTGGGGATTGAAGATGGAATAAGACCTCTTCCTATCATATTTTTACGCACCAAAACTATATCCCTTATATCTATCATTTTGGAATATCGAGATCTCTTTATAATCGCTAATATAATAATTTCGAAAACAATCGTCTGAATCGTAAAGACGAACCTACGTGAAAATTAATGCAAAATATAGTACATCTAATCGTACAGAGGTAAAAATTTAGTTTTGTAATATTTAGAAATATAATTATAATACTCGCTTAAAGTTTGTGAATATCCTTTCAAACAAAAATTAGCAACTGATTAATAAGTATCCAGAAAATATAGGCAAAGAACGCAATATGTAGTAATTATTTGGTCTCTATCTTTGATAATTTGTTATTTTGTCGTAATTAAACAAATTAATTCATTCTTTTTATTTTTAAGGCGCCGCTACCACCACCCAAATGGAACGGAATCTTCGAAGCTATTAACGAAAATATCCGATGTCCACAAAAAATGATAGGCCCAGTTGTTATGGGACACGAAAATTGCTTGAAATTAAATGTTTACACACCAGGTAGAACAATCGAAAAATCTCTTCCAGTAATGGTTTTCATTCATGGAGGTTGCTTTTTAGAAGGTACAGGCTCATCATTTATTTACGGCCCTGACTTTATCGTACAACAAGATGTCATATTCGTTGGTATTAACTACAGATTGAACATTGAAGGATTTCTTTGCTTGGGTATCAAAGAAGCACCTGGTAATGCGGGACTTAAAGATCAAATAGCTGCTCTGAAGTGGATCAGAGATAATATAGCTGCTTTCGGTGGAAATCCCAATAATGTGACATTGTTTGGAGAAAGTGCTGGGGCTGTGTCAATTTCTTATCTCATTTTATCTCCGGCTGCTAAAGGTTTGTTTCATAGAGCTATTTTACAAAGCGGAGCCACGATTGCGCCTTGGGCAATTCAGCACGATCCAATTAAAACCGCCAGTGATATAGCAAAAACATTTGGCTATTTAGGAAACAACCCACATCAAATTTATGAGGTTTTATCTAATAAATCCATTCCCGATTTAATATCTGCGATAAAATATACAAAAAATAGGATGTTTACGACTGCTCAACCTTTATTTTCTCCATGCGTTGAAAAACATATCCCCGGAATAGAGCCGTTAATTACGAAATATCCAACGGAAACAATAAAATCAGGAAATTACACAAAAGTTCCAATTATTATCGGCTATAATAATAAAGAAGGAATATATTTTGCTTCAAAAACTCATGGAAATAGCATAAAGAAAGTAGATGCGGAGGTCGATCCGCGTGATCTCTTCCAAAACGACTTGCAGTTTCCCAACGAAGAAATAGAAAATGCAACAATGACAACTATTATGAACAGATACTTCTCACTAAACAAGGACGATGCCATAATGGATTTGGTGGACTTAATTTCCGATTTGCACATAAAATATCCTACAGCAATAGAATCTAATCTATACACCATGACATCTGACCAGCCAATTTATTTCTACCTTTTCAAATACGATGGATACATAAATATGCCGAAAATAATATCTGGTTTCATAAACAAGCCAGGTGCCTCGCATGCAGATGAGCTGATGTATCTCTTCAAGCCGCATACATTTCCCTTGCCTACCAGATACTTCGAGTTAGAAATGATAAAGCGTATGGTGACGCTTTGGACCAACTTCGCCAAATACAGGTAATTTATTAAATATTATTTATTTACTTCAGGTTATCAGTCCATATAATCTATACTAATACTAATCTATACTAATATTATAAATGTGAAAGTGTGTTTGTTTGTTTTTTTGTCTTTCTTTCACGTTGAAACAGAGTGACGGATTGGCGTGTCTTTTTGTGAGCAGATAGTTGGAGGGCTGTAGAGTGACATAGGCTAGTTTCATCGTGGGAACTTATCTCATACCTAACGGAAAACACGTTATAATACAACTCAAAAAAAATATGTATGATCAGAATTACTTGAAACTTGGTATTGGTGAAAATGGGGATAAATAAATACAAGAACAAAAACCATGAACAGCAAATTAAAAATATATTAGTAAAGTATAATAGTTCTACAAATTACACTTTTACTATTAAAGCTTGAAAGACAAAGTTTTGTTAAGACACAAAATCCGACTACATCGCGGAAAGTCTTTAAATTCTCGAAATAAAAAGTTATATTAATTATTCAATATCTGATTATTATTTATTAACTAAAATCAGCAACTAATTCACATATCATTAAATTCCTTTATACTTATCTAATCACCTCCAGCCACAATATTTTGAAATATCCTAAATAACCTCGTCAGTAAAAAATATTCTTAGTCTAATAAATATCCTTCAGTCATCATCTCCCTGTCCATTTCTAAAATTACATGGGGTTGGTGCAACACGTCTTGCTCTTCCACTTACTCTTCACCTTATCATTGACCTTTTTCTCTTTTATGACCTGTCTCACACAATCTATTCATCTCTTCGTCGGTCTTCTTCCTTTCAACATTCATTTCTATCATTCTTCTCGTGACATACGTTTCATCCCTCCTCATCACATATCCATTTAGTCAGTGACCATTCAATATATTGAGGCAGAAATAGGCTCATTTTGAATATCTATACATATAATTATGTCTGTACATGGAAGATATTTGAGAAAAACTATTATTTGGGGTCTTTATTAACTCAATGAAACCCAAAACAATGATTTTTACGCGCGCTAATCTCAGAAACGCTTAAATAATTTGGGTGCTGTTAATGAATGTGTCTGACTAATGAATTGTAAGCTTCACTTAACATTTAGTATATTTTTTTGTATCAATCGATTCATAAATAAAAAAAGTTATGTTAATGTAAAGAATCACCTAGGGACGAACTCGAGCAAAGCGAGGATGAGTCGCTAGTAAAATAATATACTAGTAAAGAATCAAAATCGCACGTTTTTAATACTAGCTTAATTAAATGCATCAATATTATTTTAGCTTGAGCTTGTTTTTTGTTTTTTTGCTTTTGACGAGCTTAATATACGTTATAACCAGTTTTATCAGAATTATGTACGAACAGCGTCATCTTTTTACAAATTTTATTACTAGTAATCTATCTGCGTACTAAACTTCATTCAAATCCTGTACTGCAATAAGGCTGGATATCTGTTCCAGCGTAAAAAAGTAATAAAAATGAACATACACACATACAAACTTTCACGTTCATGATAGTAAATAAATAAATATAAATATGTTGGGACATTAACACACAGCACCATCCAGTTCCATGTTAAGCTACGAGGCCCGTGTTATGGATACCAGATAGTTGATACACTACACATATTCACTTTAAATACATACTCGTACATATTAGAAATATAAACACCAATTACAACACACAGTACAAACATTCGTCCTCAACACACAAATGAATGCCACCGGCGGCATTCCAACCCGCGACTGCTGGCACAGCAAGTAGGGTCACTACAAACTGAGCCAAACGTATCGTCAAAATGTGAAAAAGTACACGTTACTTTTTCACCGTTAAATAAAATCTTTTAAGTCAAAAAAAAAGATATTTGAACAAATAAATCCTGTAACGAACCCCGACAAGGCAAATGGAAAACCAATAGTAACCCACTTTGAATAGCCCCCGGTCTAAATAAATAGAACGAAATAATATAAGGTGACCCTAATCACTGTTCGCACCGAAAAGGTTGTCATGTGACAGTGTATCTTTCCAACATCCCTATATTATTATATCAGTCTATAATAGATATAAAAACTTTTATTTCATCAAATCATCCATACTAATATTATAAATGTGAAAATTTGTGCGTAAGGATGTTTGTTACTCTTTCACGCCAGAACGGCTGAACGGATCTGGATAAAATTTGGCACAGAGATAGATTATAGTCTGGAATGACACATAGGCTATTTATCCCGGAGAAATGTACGGTTCCCGTGGGATAGGTTTGTTTTTGTATGTTAGCATAAACTGAATAGTTGGTGCTAACGGCTGGACGGGTTTGGATATTTAGTACACGGATAGACTAGACTTGGAGTAATAGACTACTTTCAATAAAAAATACGCCAATCTTATAATAATCTGTAAAATACATTATATTATCAAATTTGTTTCAATACAAACACTAAATAAACACGAAGCGAATAAAGCACCTCCTCCTTTTCCTTCAATCAAAACTTATAAAATTGTATTTAGCTTTAACAAAAATAAACGGTTTTTTATCTTCAAATATACGAATAGTAATTACTAATTCTGAGAAAATAAAAATGTAAATTGAATTTTTCAATGCAGATATTTAAGTCACATTAATATATTCATTGACTACTTTCTGTAAGAATATAATTTATTCACGTACATAAAAAGTGAAGAATAATACGGAATACGCAAGAAGCTGGGAAGTTTCAATGTTCACGCTACCAGATCTAATGGACGGACGACAAAGGAAATCGACTGACTGTTATTTAATTATGTTAAAATATATAAAAAATATTGTTTTGAATACAAAACAAGGCCTGAAAATAATTCTTCAGGTCAAGAAAGAAAAATAATCATACCACAGATTATTAATATTTCATAATAGATAAACATACAAAATCAATACAAACCGCTTTATTAAACTAGTACTTTATGCCGAAAAGTAATGCAAGCAAAAATGTACCTAAGCATTCAGGTATAAAGTTATTATTGAATCATACCATAACATTCCCTCGACACGCGCAATTGCAATTTAATTAAATTTTCCATATTAGATTATTTCCAATTCAATATTTTGATTAAAATAAAATTGGTACTTCAAAGTATTATATTGGTTGGTTAAAATGGTTCAAATTGAACGAGTTGAAGTACTCTTCGGTTTTCACCTTCCATTCACATTACTATTTGTAGAACAAAATAACGTTCTGCTATAAAAATCATTATTATTATGTTTACAATTCTCCAACTATATCTGCGTCAACCGCTACGGCCGTGTAAATGTCATGCTCATGTCCAAATGTCATGTTTAGTGGGTAACATTAAAAAACTCATTTGCATTCAATTGAATGTCAAGCACAATTAGATGTCATTGATCATCGCTCAAAATTTTCTATCAAAATGGTAGGATCGGCTGCATATCCAGAGTTCCTGGGTTAGAGTCTCGGTCGAGTCAATTCTTGGATTTTTCTGTCAAGAAATTCTCAGTAACACCCTAGTGTTAGGAAGTTTGTTTCACCCCCGTAAATCGGAGAGCATGTAAAACCGTCGCCTGATCTCTTTCCGGTATTGTCGTATTCTTGTTTCGCCGATATATACTTTGATGGCCACGCAGATGGCTAGTCTGGTCGTTATTACTGAAATGGATCAAAAAGACACACACGATTGTAATAATCAATTGAGAAACGAACAACTTATAGGCTCTTTGTCATAAATCAACTAACATACTTTCTATTAATACAACAGATACAAAATAACATCTCCATAAAACGTTCTCACTTAAAATATAACATGACAATCAAATATATTAAAGTATATCAAAAAATAAACACAGTAGAAAAAACCGTAGGACAATTAGTATGCGGCTCACGTACGTTATTATATTGACTTTATTTACGCCGCCGTTAAGCTGGATAGACTGGATGCACAATTCATTTGTATACAAAATCACGAAATGCGGTCTCCTCCCATCCGCCATCCGCCATGCTGGGGACGAGTTATATATACATTACACATGCCTTGTAATTAATTAAATAAATAATGTATATGATGTTTGTAATTATTTTAAGTCCATACAATCAAAGGAAAGACATTGGCTTATTTTAGGTCAACAATCCTATTAATATTAAAAAATGCGAAAATTTGGATGGATGGATGTTTTGCGCGCCAGAACGTCTGATCGGATCGGCTGATTATAGTCTGTAATAGCACATAGGTTACTTTTTATCCCGAAAAAGTGTAGGGTTCCCGTGGGATAGATGTGTTTTTGCTGGAACAAAGTTCCTTTTCCCTAGGAATGAACTCGAGCGATGCTAGGTTGAGCGTTAGTAAGGAGTAGGTAAAACGATTAATCAGAATTAAAAGATTAAATACTTCAAATGACTGTCATAAACGCTATTAAAAACCATGTAAGAATTAAAATAGGTTACTGACGTACTACTTACGTACAAGTTATTGTAGTCGTAACCTCAAAGGTCAAAGATATAAAATATTTACAATTTTAATCTTTCTGTAACACGTATTGTTTACTTTAGAAATGATATTTTACACGCAAACACATTTAATAGGTATATCCCTAAATGAGATGCATAACATACATAAATAAAATTATTTCACTGTACTTCATTGGAATTCAATTCACGATCATACCTTTGGCAATGGTATAGTTTAGCATTCTATATGCTAAACTTGCGACTTAATCTTGCTAACAGGAACCTATTTGTTCCTTACATATTTATTACTGCCAGAATTTAAGTATCGGACTACTCCAAGTCTGCGTTCTAAATTTTGTCCACATCCAACCGTTTCGGCATATTGTCGTACCGAACAATTTCAGCCACGGCAGCCAATCTCACTGAGACAGTCAGTCTCATGTGGCTAGATGCGCAGAAGATTTTATAGTGCGCAAGAGTACGCGCAGACACAACATACACTCTCTATTTCTGTCACTCTCATACTCTGATGGGAGGACAAATCGATAAGATCAACAGAGATAAGGCGCAGGACGGGTGTAAATCACCGCCAGCTTCCCGACTCCGCGCTACTATGAGACTTTCTAAAAACAAAGAATCAATAATTAAACTTAGTCCGGCCCAGGATTCGAATCCAGGACCTTCGCATTAGCAGAAAGAGTAACAAACATACATGGGTATGCACACTCATACAAACTTTCACGTTTATAATGTTAATATGCTTAATAGCAGGTTGATTGTAAATAGTAATCAATGGCATTGCAATAGCAATATTGGAAAGATAATGGTACTTCTGCTATTAAATATTTATTATGTTAGTTAATCGCGCATTAACTGTTAAATTGGTTTTGATGAAGCTCTGCATACAGATAGGCAATGTCTTAAATTAACTTTTTTTATTTAAGAATATATAAATAATAAAAATAATATATAGGCCTTTTTAACGTCCCACTGCTGGGCACGTGCCTATCTTCAATTTGAAGGTGATCTGGCCATAGTCCATCACTCTAACCAAACGGAGTCCTCCAAAGTCCTCTCATATCTTTCGAAAACTACAAAGGTTTCCTCACGAACTAACAAGTGATAATCATGATAAAAATGATTCGTGTATGAACATTTCACATGTACGGGATCTGTGTTAAAGAATCCGCTACACTTGATATTCCAAGCGAGTACATTATCATTAGGCTACCACTGTCTTGATTATTTAGATTACTTTCGTTCCTATTATATACATATAAGCAGACGTAGACTAGTGGTAGATAGTAACGCGCTCTCTTGGAAAACCAAGTTAAGCATGTTGCATAACACCATGATTACCAATTGCTATTATGGGAAACGAAGCATCGTGAGCCCAGCAGTGGGACCTTTAGAAAAGCCGAATACTTAATACAATTTTAATTTCCTACAAGTAATTTTTTCTATATTCCAGTGATCCAACACCGAAAACAAATAAACTGATACCAATTCGATGGAGGCCGAGTCGGTCGTCGAACCCCATAGGCCTCGTCATAGACAGACGGCTCACCACAGCGCCTATGTGGGATACTGCCACCATACAGTTCTGGAATAATACTTACACTAAATATAGAAGAAAAGATTATGGTTTTACTAACGATAGCTTTAGTTTAGTATAATTGCAGTGTTCTTAAATTTTCAAATTCTTGGAATAATTAAATAAGGAAAATATTTATTTTTTTCTATACGATAAGTTTTTGGTGCCATATTTGATAGAGTTTCACTTTCCAATGACATCGTCCTCGGTAATGGGATGTAATTTTAAATGGCAAAATTGAATTTTATTAAAATGTCAAAAAATATCTTATATATCAAAAATACCAACATTATTTATTTCTATGTTACATACATACATTGTACATTTGTAAAGTAATAAAAAAATCGTGTCGTTAGCACAAATAAATTATTTAAAAAGCGTCCTAGTCATCTTCCAAGGTCCAAGAATACTGAACTGAAAAAGGAGTTTTCTTATTATTTTTCTAAAAAAGTCGAAGTGTGTTGGGTGCAGACTCTAAAGAGCTATACACGATGTAAAATTTCATCACTAACAGACGATTATAATCGTATTAAGACAATATTACTTTTACATTTATTTTAGATAGATATCAAAGAGGGTAATGTGCGGAAACTTAGAGGTGATAGTTTCTAGTCGTTTATAATTAATTAAATAAAAATATTATGAAAAGTAAAACAAGAATAACATAGAAGATAAATACATGGTTCCAAGCCATCTATCAAAGAAGTACTAGGATACACAAACCCATGCAAAAGTTCTCTTAAGACTGTCATCAATTGTGTTTAGGTAATTATTCTAGTTGAAATAAATATACAACAATGTAAGTTAAACCTTAAACTCAATGCTTAAAGCAGTATCAAGTGAGCGCCCATTCGGTGAGGACATTTTTTGTCGCTCATTGTGTATGTAGTACTTTGTTGATCGATGTTCCAAGCTATTGTAATATAAATAAATATATATATATATATATATATATATATATATATATATATATATATATATATTTCAATATTAAAAAACGACTTAGGCATATACCTATGTACCTACAAATTATTTACATAACATTGTAGCATCATAAATTATAAAAAAAATAAAATACACCGTTTGTTTTTTTTTATCTCTTTCGAAGCCACCGCCACCACTATTTTAGTGCTTGAAATGACGTCACAAACTATACACACGTTAAATGATTCCTCAGTTTGTAATCAAACCCACACCAACAATGCTGTAATAACCGCCATAGCAACAAAACCCACAAATACAAACAAACAATACGTATATTGAATAATTTAATTTTATAACCAAAGTATATGACCTACGTACACTAAAAGCAGATTCTTTACAATAAAATGTAGATAAACAGGATGGGAAAAGAAAAAGGCGCAAAGTAACAAGTTGGCAAGGAGTCGCTGAAGGCTGTTTGTCTGTCAACTGCGCTATAGCAAAAACTTGGACGCCTCGGGCGTTAAGTCGAAGTAAAAAAGAGAAAAAGTTTAGCGAGCCACTGAAAAATACTGATCGCGACTACACCAATCAACTTGACTGGACTACGCTTTGTTTGGATGGAAATTAATAGCGCAATAAATTCTTAAATATAACCAAATGTTTTTATTATGTTGTGGAAGAGTTCGTTTGTTTTGCTTAGGTTTACTAAAAATGGAATCGTCATTTTAAAATAAAGATTCTGGGTTCGAGTTTGGATGAGGTAAATTTTTATATTAATAATGAATCTGTCTTTTAGTAATAGTGGTTTATTAAATAATTTTTATAGTAATATGAAGACGTATGAAGGATTGTATGTACCTACATCAGATTAATTAGATTACTGCACCTGTTTGAAAAAAAATTAACTAATAAAAAGCTTTACTATTGCAGAGAGAACACAAACTATATTTTAATAACATACCGCAAGAATGCAGACGCCAGTAAAAATTAGTTAGAACATTAAAAATATTTTTCTTAAACTGATGAAATCAGAAATGAGAGAGAATGTAATAATTACGTAAATTGAATTGTCAATTCCACTAAAATATCTTTATTAGGCAGTGGTAGCCCAGTGGTAAAGTGGTAAGCGCTCGCTTAGGAAACTAAGCGATGCAGGTTCAAATCCCGGATCTCGCACCACTGATATTTTCATGTGCGAATTATTTCCAACATGATTACCACTTGTCTTATGGTGAAGGAAAACGTCGTGAGGAAACCTGCATGTCTGTGAGAACCTAGCAAGTTTTCGAAAGGCATGTGAAGTCTGTCAACCCGCACTTGGCCGGCGTGGTGGACTATGGCCTGATCCCACTCGTATTGAAGGGAGGCCCGAGCCCAGCAGTGGGACGTTAACAAGGGCAGACAACAACAACCTTTAATAGGCAGTAAAACCTCTTAAGACACTGTACTATTTCTCTAGAGTCTAGAAGGTCATCAAACCCGTAACAATAGTATTAAATAAACACAACTAAAACGGTGTCAGCGCTTTCAGACAGCGCACGTTAACTTATCAGCGACTGGCAACTGCTAGCGAACTGACGTCTCGCAACTCCTCGTCACTCCTGAGCCCTGCAATTTACGTTGCGGTCTTGTTTGCTTAAATTCATCCTATTTCACTACTATTTGAAAAAATTTAACAAAAGGAATAATTATAGACAAAGGCTTATTGAACTAAACATATGAAGCCTAAGCCGAATCTGCACATTAAATATTTTTTGGAAAATCTTATTAAAAAAAACATTATTATCGATACAGAGGCCGAATTTATAGTTTTTAGAATTTTTGTCTGTCTGTCTGTTACCGCATCACAGAAAAACCACTGGAGGGATTTCGATGAAATTTTGTATGGTAAAAGCGGGTCAACATATTGGATACTTTTTACCGCGGGAAAATGTCTCATTTCTAGGAAAAAAACAAAAACTGCAATGTCAGAGTATACTAATATGTAAAACCTAAGAATTTGGTTTTTGGTTATCTGAACGCGGGCGGAGCCGCGGGCAATGCTAGTATTTCTATGTCTTTTTCAAGTGGAAGAGCACTAATGCTTAAAAATACAAAATAATTTTATTATATTTATAATATTATTTTTGACGACACGTTTGGCTCAGTTTGTAATTTTGTAGTGACCCTACTTGCTGTGCTAGCGGTCGCGCGTTCGAATCCCGTTGGGGGCATTTATTTGTGTGTTGAGCACGAATGTTTGTACTCCAGTCATGGGTATTTATATTTATAATATGTATGTATTTAAAGTTATATATGTAGTGTATCAACTATCTGGTATCCATAACACAGGCCTCATAGCTTACCATGGAACTAGATGGTGCTGTGTGTTAATGTCTCAACATATTTATTGATTATTATATTATTATTTTTATAGCATATCCATTTGCATTCATTTGCGATCAGATGACCAAAACCAAATTCTTTGGTTTTACACATTAGTATACTCTTACATTGCAGTTTTTGTATTTTTTCTCAGAAATGAGACATTTTCCCGCGATACCACATCAAAATCCCTCCAGTGGTTTTTCTGTAATGCGGTAACAGGCAGGCAGACAGACAGACAGACAAAAATTCTAAAAACTATAGATTCGGCCTCTGCATCGATAATAATGTTAATTTCAATAAGATTTTCCAAAAAATATCTAATGTACAGATTCGGCTTAGTTACAATTTTATTATATGTATAGATTCGTTATTTATTTATATCTTGAAATATAAAATTTTCCTTATTTTTTAAATACTAAAAAGGTTGAGCCGCTAGTTTATATATAAGACATTTGTCTCACCCGTGACCATGTTTGCTGTAAAGCATTCGAAATATCACACCAAAAATCCCAATAAAACCGTAAAATTCTGAAAAAAATATTTTATGTAAAATTTATATAAGCTTTTGGCATGATTTAACTTTTAAATACTTTTATAATATAGAACGTTTTATTTTTTTTGAGCAGAACCCTAATTATTTTCCTAAAATAAAAGTAGCCTTAGTTACTCCTTATAGCATCAGCTATCTGCCAGTAAAAGTCCTGTCAAAATCAGTCCAGCAGTTTCGGAGATTGTATATAATTTCATATGCATTTAGTAGAAATCTATTAGTTTAGCATTACAAACAGACACTTCAATATTATTTATCTGTATAGATAAGCTATCTTTAGGATGAGGTAAAACGTGATAATAAACTTTTATTGATTATTGCATATAAATCTTTCTTTATCGTTTAAAAGGATTTAATGGCGTTCCGTGCTACTTTGTTTAAGCCTTATTTTATGGGGAAATATACTATATCTATATTATAGTAACAAGAACTTTGTATGTATTTTTTGAGATTATAATTATTAGATTACATAAGCTGGCATGTAAGAACGTGGTTAGTTATGGTGTTTCACTATAAACCCATTTATTGCTATAGCTAAAAGATTTTTTCATGAGGAGAAAATGGACGCTAGAATAACTTACCTGAAGGAAAACATTGCGAGTTTCATTTCATAGCCATTTTTATTGACGTATTTTTATTTAACCAGGTAATTCAGGTCCAGGAATACACAAATCGAACCTGCGATCTCAATTATAATAATTGATGAACGGTAGACGTTGTAACCTGTATCACTTAGTTAATACTTCTTCTTACTAAAGTCTCTTTGTATATAAAGACAAAATAATCCAGTACCGTTTTTCTCCTCTATTTGTCAACCGATTTTTTTTTTTTTGTTTAGTAGCTACAGACGAGTACGAAAATACCTAAAAGTGTAGAAAAAATATAAATTCATGCATGTTTTCCTCCAATAATGATTACAATCGAATTTCGACCACTAGGCTAATACTTTTAATTATTTAATGAGCAGCTCCAACACCCTCCTTGGCACATTGGCGGTCAAGATGGACAGCCCTCTCTGGAGGCAATGGAATAGGGTTCATATAGCCACGAGGCGGACCTAAATGGGTCTCATGCTTGTGGTGTGGCCTTATCACGTAGGGCAATCTAGTTGTTTTGTTTTTTTTTTTTCTCTTCTTAAGCTAACATAGGTTTAGTATTTTGTATTACTAACTCTTAGAATAGATAAATTGTATGTGTTTTCGTTTTAACTTCTTTTTTTTTGTGTAATTATGGGTTTG